GGCTAAAATTTTGAAATAGGCAGCAATTTTTTGTTTTTGCATCCTTCAATTTTTGAACTTGAGTCACCACTGGATATAGCTTTCAACAAAGTCTTAGTAAATATCATCTCCATTATTTTATTCAGAACAAAACATTTCGAGATTTAAAGATCTGTGAAGAAAAACTGGCAACACAAAAATAATGAATAATTACACTGTTATAACCAATCAACCGCCAGAACCCAGTCTCTGAAAACATTTGGTTAAAATGTACCTACCATGTAAACCAATAAATTGATCGGGCAGTAGCAGTAAAAAAAAAATATTACAACTTAAAAAGCAAAATTTTCACTACCATGTTTAGCTGTATCAGCATTATTAGGGGATTAACGTCATACTCCAATACCAGAAGCTAAAATAACCCAAAATAACTTTAGAACATATTGAAATATCTCGGTTTTCGCTATATTAGCTTTATCAAAAGATTAAGTACATCAAATAATGTTACAATACTTGCTGTTTTTTTTTCGTTGTTGTTGTTTACCTGCAAGAGACTTTTCTGACGGATACTCCTCTATCCGAATGAATGCATGGCTACCTTTCCAGTAACTGGTAGAGGGGTGGCTTTCGTCGTATAGACGTTGTGCTGAACCTAAGTCGGGAGAGAAAATGGGTCGATTTTTAGACCACAACCTATACAGCAACAAAACACACACTAACAAAAGTACTTAAGCTGTTTGACTTATCATTTTAAATCTCTTTCACCCACTGCTTTAAACATATTTATTAACTTTATCAAAAAGTTGTCATTATAATTTTGTAGGCTATGTTTGTTTCTTTTTTAAAATTAAGACTTTTTATTATTTGACTAGAAGGAGTTTTCAAGTCACGTGATGAGCGCGTAGCATTAAGACTAGGAATTTCTTGAAAGTGCATCAAACGATTTCTAATGTTATAAAAAAGCGCGTTAAGCTAGAGATTATTTATTACTGTCTGATACAGTGGAATTTGTAAACTTTTAGTCGAATGCAGTTTATTAAATTTTGTCCTGTTGTACGTACTCTGCATTAATAGAACGAGTCTTAACGTTAAACCATTCAACGTTGTTAAAACGAGTTTCGGCTTAACTGACAATTATAGAAAAAAATATAGCTTTCAACAAACTCAGAGTAAATATCATCTACATTATTTTATTTAAAATAGAACATTTCGAGATTTAAAGTTCTTTGAAGAGAATTTAGAAATACAAAACTAAATAACTTATAATATAAAAAAACGAGCTATGTTAGTGATTATTGAGTAGTGATTCTGTTACAGTGGATTAATTATTGAGTTAAAGGTTTTTTTAGCTAGTTGTTTGTTACTTAGTTTTGTGAATATCCAGTTTACGTTCCAGCGAATTACTGGAGATAGGAAAGTGCCGAGCAAAAAGGTGAAATTGTTGTTTTATTATCTACTTTTGTACAGTGACTGATGAAACATTTTCGTTCTCATTAAGTGGATTAGACTCTGCCTTATTATTTTTGCTGAATAATTCAACAAGAGATACCATAATAACAAGTGTCACGAGTGGGATTACTTTGGAAAAATTAAAATAGAATCTTGACTTAACATCAAAAGCAACTCGTACTCGAAGCGAGATCGAAAATTTGCTGGTAATGACGAAACAGGGTAGAGACGATCGAGAAGAGACAAAATTGAAAAAACAAATAAACAACACACACACACACAAAGAAGTAGACTAAAAATTTGAATAAAATCAAGAAGAAGAAGACAGGTAGTTAAGAGAATAAGTACAAAATGAGAAATAAGTTTTACAGAAGAACTATGAACATAAATAAATTTTATTGAATACAAGATTGAAAAAGCTAAAGGAGATTTATAAATTTATTATAATAATTAAACTGAAGTAGTACAAAAAAAACATTAAAGCAAAGATTAGGAACAGAGTAAGAAGAAAGGATGAGACTTTGGGTGAACTTGTGAAAATGTACAAAGATTTGTCAAATTATCTTATTGACCTGCTCTACGTGAAATGATGGATTTGTTGGCACATAAGCCAATTTTAAATGTTATACTGAATGAGAATGTGTGAATAAAGCTAAAGCAATTAGGTATGCATCTTAGATAGATGCTATTCATTTGGTGACAAAATCAATTAAAGTTGCAGATAAACAACTAAAAGCAAGATTCAAGAATTATGAGATTATCAAATCAAGTAGTGTAGAAACATCAACTCTCTTTGATGTAAGTCTAGAGGATCTCAAATCATTAATTAGAAAACTATTTACTTACAATGGAAGAGGTATACAACAGGATAGAAGATGTTTCAGTTGCAACTTAAAGGGGCATATTGCCAAGAAATGGAGAAAAAATCCTTTAGTAAATAGAAACTGCTTCCAAAAGATGAGAAAATGAAACTGTTATAAGTGTAGAAAACAGACATTATATATAAATATAATATAATATGTATATAAATAACTATATTTAATTTTGTAGAGAAAGAATAATAAATAAATGTATAAGTAAATGAAAAGATATACTTGAGAAAATAAAAATGCAGCTATAAAACAAATATCCAATACCGGCGCATAAACTATAGGGTGGATTATTATGTAATGTGCCCTAGTTATTTGAGGTGTCAAGGTTAGGTGTGCACCGTCTATAATGTCTAACGTTAATTTCGCCAGCTTCACATGCTTAAGAATAAGAGAAAATGAATAGATATGTATGCTCAGGCCCACAGTTTCACATCTAAAAACCTTTCCTGTCTGCAGGAAGTGGGAAGGTGGTTGCTCACAAAAAATAAATAGTAAGAAAGATAATAATCAGAGTACATTACTTCAGTGGGGGGGGGGGGGTGGGGGGGTGAGGCACAGCAAACTGTCCTTTAAGTTAGCATTCCAGCCCCCAATATGATGCTTTGATATAGTTAATTATCAAGATGCTAAAGCACTAATATACGAAGCCCAACCTTTTGCTATTAGTATAACTCTCATCCTCCACCCTTCTAGGCTACTATGTAAAGAGATCCACACAGTAGCAAGTCTTATATAGAGAAAATGATACAACAACATTATTCCACCTATATAAGCCTAGCAGAATACCCGCGTTGCTCGGATGAAAATGGCTTTAAACATCCTGAACTGTTTTGATTAAATCAACTACATTAATCGTGATTTTTTGCAAAAAAATAATAAAAATGATTTCTTTACCTAACTGAATATTTGATTAAAATCAATAAAAATAATGTGCGAAACGTTTTTTGTAAAGTCATCGTACAGCTTATTCTTGCGAGTACATGCAAGCAAAGCAAATGACATGGCTGATGCAAGCCTATTTAGCCGAGATAGTGTGCGCGCATGTCCAAGAGAAAGCACCAGCCTTTTTCTCTTAAGGGGAGTTAGAGAGTAGGTATGTATGTGTAGAAAAAAAAGAGAAGGAGGTAACGAGCACAAATTAAGGCTCCACGAAGTATTTAAATCGTTTTAAAACATAATTGATCATGGATAAAATGATTAGGGGAAGTCCTCACACAGAGAATAAATGTAAATAATAGCCTTTTTGATCACACATTACCAAAAAAAATCCGGCCTTTTTAATTCGAGACCAATTGGTCGTCCTGTTTGCCAAAAATTGCTATACTGGTTACTTTGGCTTCAATTTGCAGCCTCAAAACAGCCTCGGAGGCCGCGGCCTCGTAACCCATGTTACTTTTCGCACAAAGTTGTATCTGCACATCGAGTTTGTAGCTTTATAAATGTGGCCGTACATAAGGAACAGACCCACAAAGAAAATTTGTTTGTTTGTTTGAAATTCGCGCAAAGCTACAGGAGGGCTATCTGCGCTAGCCGTCCCTAATTTAGCAGTGTAAGACTAGGGGGAAGGCAGCTAGTCATCACCACCCGCCGCTAACTCTTGGGCTTCTTTTACCAACGAATAGTGGGATTGTCCGTCACATTATAACGCCCCCACGGCTGAAAGGGCGAGCATGTTTGGTGTGATGGAGATTCAAACCCGAGACCCGCAGATCGCGATTCGAGCTCCCTAACCACCTGGCCATGCCGGGCTCCATAGAGAGAGAGAGAGAGATTCACGCTTATATATAGAGAGATATAAAAATGTCCAAATAAGCAATTCTAATTATTTCCCCTCCTACCAATAAATTTCAGAAATTATTTTTATTGTATATATTATAATTTTATTGATTTCATTATTTTCAATTTTATATAAATACTATTTATTATAAAATAATTAAAAACATTTGATTAAGGTATTTTCATCAAAGCCATTGAAAATAAATTTCTGTACTAACATATATATATTAGATATTAGTCATTGTATATTGCTAGAAATTTGACAATATTTAAGAAGTTGTGAATATATAATACTCTTTATGGCACTGTTCTGCCCCCCCCCCCCGTGACACAACGGTATGTCTGCGGATTTAAAACACTAAAAACTGGGTTTTGATACCCGTGGTGGGCAGAGCATCAATAGCCCATTATGTGGCTTTTGTTTGAACATTACTATTTAGAGAGGGAAGTCCATATATGTGAAATCATTTATTTTATCATTAATATTATTATTATTATTAATTATCTTAATCTAAATAATGTGTTTCAGTATTTGATATAGAGATATTCTAGATTAGTTGAACTGCAGGGTAAATATTACCAATATAATTACATATTACTGGATTACTAATACTTATTAAATCATCAATATATTTAAATGTTAAGGAAAATAATTCCTGGTTTTTAAAATTATTTATAAATTTATTTTCTTAATAAGAAGAATATAAATTATCAACTTGAATAATTAAACCTCATCGACCCAATATGTGTATATAAATTTACTTATCAAAATGAATATAATTATTATATATATATGCAAAAAACGAATAAGTTTCTAGTATTATTAGCAGTAAAAGTTTGGTTTTCTACTTTTATAGAATATCAATAAATAGATCTATTAGTATTAGTATTTATCTTATTGATTACAAGTTGTGCATAAAAACATTTGTAGAAAAAGCCAAATTTACAGCTGGCTTTATCGTCAGGCACAATAATATATTTCTCCTATATTTTACGGATTTTAGTTTTAAATTGGAAAAATATTAAATATATTGGATATTTATTTAAACTGATAAAATCTAATTTATCTTTAATTCTATTAACCATATAATATCTTCATTCTAAAAACCAAATTGGAGGATAATGTGCAGAATAATTAAGTTTTATAATGTAATCATCTGTATTTTTTTATAGAATTTAAAATGCCTACTTTTACATTTTGAAGCTATTCTGTATTTAGCACCTTTTTTCATGGTGTTCAATAAAGAATTATCCTTTATTATATCCAAATTTCCAGTAATAATATATTTATGAAAAGAATCTGCCAAAGAGTTTGAGTAACAATCACATAGTAAATTGTTTACATTATTTATATCTAAATAATTTTTAAAAATATTTATAGTTTTATATAAGTGGTCCTATTGGAATTTCATACTTGAAAACGACAATAGGTTTCATATATTTTAAAGGAAAATATTTTGTATTACAGAATCATGCAAAGTTTTTGAAATCTGCAAATCACTAACAATTTTGGGTTTAAAATTAATGATGATTTTCTTATCGGCAATTATTTAAT